TGAGTTCTGTCATGGAACCAATGCAGCGCAGACAGCTCAAAATATCAATGAAGTGTTTGGGGAGGATGTGGCTAGTGAAGGCACAGTTCATCAATGGTTTGCCAAGTTGTGTTCTGGTGATTTTAATCTTGAAAATGAGCCACGTGGGTGACAGACTAAGGTGGATAATGATGAGCTGAAAGCTGTAGTGGAAGCGAATCCATCTCAACCTATGCACGAATTAGCAGCAAGGTTTGACGTTTCTATTCCTATAATACTGGACCATTTGAAACAAACGGGCAAGGTAAACAAGCTGGATAGATGGTTCCACGTGAATTAAATGAGCATCCAAAGAGAAATTGTCTCGAAGCTTGCCTTTCTTTGCTGTCACGACATAAAGGTGAGCCATTTCTACACTGTGTTGTTACGCGTGGTGAAAAATGGATTCTTTCTGATAATCGCAAGCCTTCAGCACAATGGTTGGATAAATATGAAGTGCTGAAACACAGACCAAAACCAAATATTCATCAGAAAAAGCTAATGGTGTGCGTTTGGTCCAGTGCTGGTATTATCCACTACAGCTTCGTGAAACCTGGTCAGTCGATGACAGCAGATGTCTCCTGCAGCCAGTTGGACGAAATGATGAGGATGCTTGCGATTAAGCAGCTGAGATTGGTTGATAGACACAGGCCAATCCTCTTGCAAAACAACGCTAAACCACACATCACAAAAACAACACTGCTCAAACTACAGCAGCTGGACTTGGAAACTCCGTCATCCACCATATTCACCAGACCTTGCACCAACTGACTATGCTTCTCTCCAGACTTTGCAGCACTTCTTGCGAGGAAAAATACTCAATTCTCAACAGGCTGTGGAAAATGCCTTTCACAGTTTTGTCGTTACCTACTTTCCAGGTTTCTTCGCTGCTGGCATAAAGAAGCTACCATTACGATGGTAAAACTGTGTTTGATTGTTTAGGTGCACACTTTGATTAACTGTACTGCTTGTTGTTTGAGATATAAATACACTAAACTTTTGATTTGAAATTGGACATTTCATATGTAATGACCTAACGTAGCAGTTCCCCATGAGGCATGTGCTCTATGTAGGAGAGGAAACAGGTTCAGAGAGGGTGAGTGCCCAGCCCAAGGTCAAACTGCCTTCAACTGGTTTGTCTAGAAGGTTGAGTATTTTCCCTATAAAACTGATAAATAATATTCCACAAACAGGTGATGAAACAGATTTAGAGTTCGTTTTTTAAAGTGCTCTTAAATAGTTGGAGTGTTTCTCATATACGCCTGCATGCATACCAGTGCATCTAACATTTTGGAAAAACCTCCCCACCAGCCTCCAGTTTCATTATGCATATTTGTAGATTTAGCAAATAACTGAAGTGGGAATAGGGCCTATATCTAAAGAGGACAGTCGCCTCCGTGGCCTTCCAGTCGTCTTCCCCAGTTAATTGCTGTCGGGCTGATTTGTTCTGTATGGATGTCTGAGTATGTGCGAGTGAGAATCAGTGTGAGCTGTTCCTGCGACAGAGTCTCAGGAACTCAAGTTTGATAACCATGTTTTTAAATAGAACCGTAATTAAGAAGGAAGAAAAGATTGAGAAGGAGGAAGAAAAAAGACTTGAAGACATTAAAAAGGAAGAAAAAGACCAAGATGAGCTGAAACCAGGACCTACAAATCGGTCTAGAGTCACCAAATCAGGTGATGAGAGTCTTCTAAGTGTTCATGAATGGGGCAAATCCTGGCACGGGTAGTGGGGTAGGTAGAGTGTCAAAGAGGAAGTGAGGACGGTGAGCTTTCTGGTAACGTGGCTGAGTTGTGCTGTTTATAGGTAGCGGTTGAAACGAGATGAAATGGCTTAAAGGGGTTTTGTACAACATCAGAAACCTGGAAGTACTCCGGACGGACTAGGTGCACTGTATGGGTATTGTTGGACTTCAGTGGCCTGGGTTTTTGCTTTTCCTGAATCTCTGGCAGATCATAGTGGGATTTGCAGGAGGGAATTGGCCTGGTTCCTTGCAACAAATCTGATGCAATTCTGCAGGTGTGCGATTGAGCTTTTCCTGCATTTATGTTAAAGCTGTATGTGGTAAAACCTCCAAACATCTGTATCTGTTGAAGTGGTTGTATTTGGACAGTGTTGGACAATGCCACTTCTCTTGTCATTTTATATAAGTTTATTGTGCTCTGTACCTTCGAATTTGTATGAGTATCTCCAATGTATTGTGGCAGAAAAATAAACCAACCCCCCTACCTCCCCCAAGGGGTAAAAAACAACCCAACCATCTGGAGCACTGAAATTTGGTATAGCACATTACAAGTTAGATCTTAAGTGCTTGGAGTAATTTACCAGTAATCTCATGAGGAACATGTTTTCAAAATGTTCCTCAAGTATTATAAATCTCCACAAATAAGTCATTGTTCCAGTGGTTAGAGCTGGTTGTTGTGTTGTCGGAAAGAGAATTGATTTGGAAGCCTTTATTGCTATAGATGAATGAAGGTAAGCCCACCCGTCTGGCGAGGCACTCCCTCAGAGACAGCAGTGTCTGCTTCAGAGCACGGGGACCCAGATTCTGCAGAGCTTTACAGAATGTACCGGAGGAATGAAATATAAATTGGCTCTCTTGGAGCTACTAGGATTTCGCGTGGGGGTGGCAGAACTCTGCAGGGCGGGTATGTTTGCATGCACGTTGCAGCATGCACTCCGACTTTGGGTTTCAGTTGTAGTGTGGGAAAAAGTCTCAGCTACTTTTACTTCAGATGTGCAAAGACACGTCAGGGTGCACTAGCCACTTTGTACCTATGTTAATTGTGTTGGTCACAATAGAGATGAGGACCAGAGGCTCCAAAGGCTTGTGTCGGTCACTTGACTGAGGCCCTGTGTGCCCATCCCACGGTCCACCAGAGTGCTGATTGCTATTGGATTGTTGGGGTGTTAGCATGTTTTGATAGATTGCTGTGTTTTTGTCCCGAAGGAAGCAGAGGAATGGAACGCACAGTGGTGATGGATAAATCGAAAGGAGAGCCTGTCATTAGTGTGAAAACCACAAGCAGGTCAAAAGAGAGAGTAAGTATTGCTTCTGCCACCTCTTGGCCAGCTGTTTTTGATGGTGGTTTAATGACCACTTTGATTTGTATTATGAAAACAACTTTGTTTCAGCTTTAAGATCTTAAGAGTTCTTTGAATTACTCAGGAGGTATGTTAATTGTTTAGATTATATACACAGACACAAAATTAAATTCTGAAACTTTTCGCAGAACAGTACTTACCAATGTTTGCTTTCCTTAACGTGCTGGCCTCTCACTGGTTCTTGTCAGGTTATACCGTCGTCTGGACGGACACTCGATTGACACACAACACCCCACCCACCATCGGATAGGATGGGTCTGGCCCCAGGCTCTTCCACTGGGTTTCCTCTTCGGTTGATCTAATAGCAGTTTATTAATAGTCTTTTCATTGGTTTTCTAGTCTTTTATTAAATTAACTAAAAGAAAAGTAGAGCCCAACCTAAAATGGAGTATCTTTCATTTTATGAGATAAGGAACATCATTCTTGAACTATACACACAGCTGGACAAACAGCTGTATAATTTTGCATATTCTACTCTGGAAAACAGAAAAAAACTCTCTGCTTCGCAGCTGCAGGTTCTAGCTAAGACTAGAGGAAACATTAATGAGGAAATACTGCTCTTTTAGTGAGTGCAAAGTTAATGGTATTCATCCATATTCATCTAAGAACACTTTGTGTTAAGACATAATTTTTTAAAATGAACATTTGGATTCTGTAAAGCAGTAATTCCTACTGCCATTTTTCATACGGGCTACATGAAAATCATAAAATACAAAGAAATCCAGAGTAGAAAACAGAGATCCATAATCTTACCAGCCAAATACCTCTATCATTAAAAAATCAGTGATAATTCACATGTGATCAGAGCATTGAGTTAGCACAGAGAGATACAAGCAAGATGGAAGGTGCTCTGCCTCTGCATGGTCCCCTCAGCTTCCTCTCAAAGGACATTGAACATGCGTCACACACACACGCTGTAGGACCACCAGCGAAGGATCGTGCTGGAACTTGCTGGTGTGCACCTTGCTTTTTTTGTATAATATGCCTTGGAGGTCTTTACATACAGAGACGTACAGTTGAGCCTTCTTCCTTTCTTTTTTTAACTTGTTTATTTTGAAATAGTTAAAGTGCTGTTCAGAAAAGTTATGGGCAGACTTATATTTACTGGCTGTGTATCAGGTGCCAGGTCACTAGTAAGTGGCTAAGCTGGGCTATGACCCGAGAGTCCCTTTCAGGTACCCTTCCCTGCTGGGCTGCATTCCATGTAGCGGTACCTGAGGGTGTCTGTCCCCTCATCACTGCAGATGAAACCTTCTGCCCGTCCCATAGGCGAAGAGTGTTGTGGTGAGATTTGGGGTGGTGTGTCCTTCCTTGTAAGAAGGTCGTCCTTTCTGGTGTGTCTCTGCTCCCCTGCTCCCCACCCACCCCCTTTTGCAAACTGGTGTGACATCTGGTCTCAACCTCTGCTGTTCTTTTTATCGGGTTGCTTTGCCTTTTATTGCTCTTATTTTTTCCCTTGTGGGAGCTAATTAAGAAAATAAGCCTGAGGAGCTCTTTGAAAATGTCACCTCCCAAGTTCTTGCCTGGAGATTCTGAGTCTGGGCCAGTGGGAGGCCCGGGGTACTGTGTAGTTTAAAAGCTTCATGGGAGAGTCTGGTGTGTGGCCAGTTTGGGTGACGCCTTGGAGAGCCTCAGAAATGGGAGTCAGCCTTACAATTCTGAGTCTTGTCCCAGAAACGGAATATCATGGAAGTTGGCCATAAGTGTTTTATACCTTATTAGGAGCACCGTTTCTCCTTGAAGCATTTTGGCTTTTTCTATTTTAGGGCTGTCTGCCTGCGGCCTGAGCCAACAGTTGAGAAGGGAAACGTGCAGTCAGTCTCCAGCTCTCCAAACAGCTGGCTTGACTGCTGTCCCCCACTGAACCAAGGGGCTGCCATGGCTTTGCGCGGATGTGCCCTGTGGCTCTGAGAGGTCTAGTTTTGTTTTAGATTATATGAGTCATTGGCTCTGCTACAGTAGAAAAACTCGGCCTGTGGGTTTTCTGAGGTTTAGGCCAACCTTTTCTCTTCCGTTAATGCCCTTTGACATTTGAAAGGAAGATTGTGGATTAAGCTACAAAACTCCTACCTGGGGGGAAACAGCCTGTGCTTGGGCCTGTGGTTTGGAAACCACACCTCCCATATAAACCACACGGGACAGAAGAATACTGGGCTAATCCAGACATGCAAATTTAACTTCCACTGTATATTTGCTGCAGTCATTTCTCTGATGTTAATAAACCAATTTTGGTAAACAGAGCTCCAAGAGTCAGGATCGCAAGTCAGAAAGCAAAGAGAAGAGAGACATCTTGTCGTTTGATAAAATCAAAGAACAGAGGGAGCGAGAGCGCCAGAGGCAGCGGGAGCGAGAGATCCGAGAAACGGAGCGACGGAGGTGAGTGGGACCCACCAGGGTTGTGGGCTGGTGACTTACTAGGGGCAGGGGGGACTATCTGCCTCCTTAGCTCTCCTGGAGCCAGAAGTCTGTGCTGGCACTTGGGCTGGCCGTTCTTGTGTGTTCCACCCGAGTCCGAGAGGCAAAGCTCAGCGCCTGTTCACAGCTAGCTTGTGAGACGTGACGGTGGCATAGAAGTCACCAAAGGCCATTTTTGCCCAGCAGCCTTTTCCTCTGGCTGAAGTTGGAAGTTGGCCGTGTGGAAAGCTCTCACACACGTGGCTTAGCTGGAGTGGGTCCCTGGTGTCGAGGCCTTGGTCTTCCCCACTGAAACTTTCTGCATAAGTAAGGCCAAAAGCTGCAACTGGAATTCAGTTGTCATTTTATTGCAGCACCGGAATGGGGCAGTTTTGTCACAGGTGTTAGTCATAGGAAAGGCTTCCCTGAAGTGTCTGCATCGAGCCGTGTCTGTCTCTCCCAGCTGCAGCGCCTTCGCCGCTCACGCCCTCTGCTGCCGGGACGGTTTATTGACATGAGGTTCGAAGGAGACTTTTCCCCTCCACTTTTACATCCTGACATCTCGTGTCAGCTTCTCCGGACTTCCCTTGTCGCTTTTCCTCAAATGTTCAGTAAAACAAAAGCTTTATGTCTTGGTATTTGGGGACCTTTCCTGCACTCACATGGGTGATGTGGAAACTTTCCAGTTATGCTACATTTGCTTTTCTAAACTGAGCTAATCGCATCCTTTCTGCAGATGGAGCTTTAGGACAGAAAAGCCCACTGAGCGGCTTTTTTTCCTTACAACTTGCTCCTCCTCGGTTTGGAGCCTCTCCAGGCACCGTCAGAGAGTGAGAGTGTGGCCGACACTGCTCAGGCTTGGAAAAGGGCTTTCAGAGCGACCAGGCAGGTCCCAGTGTGCGGGAAAGTGAGACCTTGGCCCTGGCCGTGGTGCTCAGCCAGTAAACCGTGGGCCCTCTGTTGCCTGGTGCCTGTCCCCATGCCTTCCCAGGTTCTGTTCAAAGGATACTGTCACTGAAAATACAGCCTTTTTTGAGGAAAGGTGTGAAAATAAGACACGCTCATAGCCTGTAATAAGAAATCAGAACCGTTTTTCACCCCTCGGGTGGCTACGGTGGTCGTTTCTCCAGGGGTTTCCCGTGCACGGCACCTTTGTGGTAGCCATCATCAAGCACCTGTGGTGCATCTTTCCCTTTACAGTCACAGTTTCCAAAACTTGTAGATGACATCGAGTCCTGCACCGGCCTCGTCTTGTGCGTTTTTGGGCCAAGCTCTACTGTCTCTGGCCCGGCGCCTGTCTTGTTGGGAAAAGGTGGAGTTTGGGGGCTCCGGGCAGCTCGGTGAGAGCGGGTCCCGGGTGCCCCGTCCTGGTGGCTGGTAGGCGAGCCTCCGTGGCGCTGTAATTCAGGGTGGCCTCTCTGTGTCCCTGCAGGGAGCGGGAGCAGCGGGAGCGGGAGCAGCGCCTCGAGGCCTTCCACGAGCGGAAGGAGAAGGTGCGCCTGCAGCGCGAGCGCCTGCAGCTGGAGTGCCAGCGGCAGCGGCTGGAGCGCGAGCGCATGGAGCGGGAGCGGCTGGAGCGGGAGCGCATGCGTGTGGAGCGCGAGCGCAGGAAGGAGCAGGAGCGCATCCACCGCGAGCGCGAGGAGCTGCGGCGCCAGCAGGAGCAGCTGCGCTACGAGCAGGAGCGGCGGCCCGCGGTGCGGCGGCCCTACGACCTGGACCGGTGAGAGCCTGAGGCCTGCGTGGAGGCGGTGGCAGCTTCCCTGCCTATCTCCTGGGCTGGAGAATTAAATTTAACATGGAGGCTGGCCCCTCTGTAGAACTCACTGCCACTGCCGCAAGATTATGTAGTTCACTGTCACCTTCCAGTGGCTGTGCAACTTTTTTTTTTTTTTTTTGTCCCATTTGAGTTATTTTTCAGGGAATCTCGTTGGTTGCCACTTGCTGAAGAGCGTGTGATGCCTTTCCTCTTAGGTTCCCCATGGAGCGTAACTGTTCTCTTTTTGTGTTATGAGACAGCCAGACATCCATTAGGCCCAAGTTGGCCATGCCATCTCTGTTGGTCTAGCGTGTCCTTGTAGACGAGAGGCAGAGCAGGCGCTGTGGAAAAGGAAATTGCCTCCTGGCTTGGAAAGTAGGTTTATTGGTCTCTAGCTTCTCCAAACGGCTTAATTGACCGTCACCCGTCACCCCACTCCCCGTGAGCCTAGTTTTCTGGTAAAAATCAGGAAGAAGATAATTGGATGCTGTCCTGAGCCGTATGTAGTTCACTATCACCCGACCTAATTCCCTTTGCTTCTGCAAAAAACTCAGAGGGAGGTTCAGGTTCTCATAGACGACGGGGAAGGTAAAAATGTGGCAACTCAAATTCCATTCCAGAAGAATCAAATATTTCATTTCACTTGAATTTGAGCTCACGCGGGGATCAAGGTATTAGCAGCCTTGCGAGACAATTAGCTCACAGCAGTGCTTTCTTCAGGATTGTCAGATGAGAACACCAGTGTGCCTCTTGGCAGTTTGGGGGATTTTAATTTATCAAATCAAAGCGATAATGATTGAATGTTTAGAGATTAGCCCTGCAGGACATTTTAATGATGCTGGGTCTGGGGAGAGAGCTCCCCTCCTCACCTCCACCCCTTTGCTTTTTCCTCTTTCTCTGTCATAAATGAAATTTGCATTCTTTTTAAAATAATAACCAACAGGCGAGATGATGCCTATTGGCCAGAAAGAAAACGAGTGGTGATGGAGGACAGATACCGCGCCGACTTCCCCCGGCCAGATCACCGCTTCCACGACTTCCACCATCGTGAGCGGGGCCAGTACCAGGACCACGCCATCGACAGGTTAGCCGCCCGTCCCTCCTGCAGCCACAGAGGTGGCAGGCACTGGGACATCGAGCTGTTCGAGTTCTCAGCCTGGTACAGGGATAGGTCTTCATCTCTTCTCTGAAGTCTCACTGACTTGTGGATCACAGTGGGTGACTTTGACCCGCAGAACTTGAGCAAGTTGTTGTTGTAACTAGTGGTCACTTAGAGCATCCTCAGCTTGCCGAGCAGGAAGGCGCCTACAGGCTCCTTTTACCTGCTGTTGTCTTTTCATGGGTAGGCCGGGTGTGGCCCCAGGTAGCGAGCTCTGCCTAAGAGAATGCAGGATGGCTGGAGCCCAGGCACCCCACACTGAGCTCTCTATGGGCCGGCGGGGTGTTCCAGCATGGCCCAGCTCTGGGTTTCACAGTTTCCTGGGGGTCCTTCCACAACTTCTCCCCCTCTTCCCCTCCCCACCTCCCACAGAACCAGGAAGGGCTTGGAAGAGGGCCTGGCCCAGCCTCCTCGTGTGTATATACCAGAGGAAGCAGGTTTAGGGAAGAGGTGTGACTTGCCTAGGCCAGCTGGGGCTCCGGGGCTCAAACCTGGGCTTCGTCCACCAGCAGCGGCTCCTGTGCCAGTAAACTACAAAGAGAATTGACTGGAGAATGTGCAGAATTTCTCATTTGGCTTTGCTTTTTGAGGGTCTAGGTGAGTTTTTGGCCAGTGCCTGCCTGCCGTTTTTTTTTTTTTTCCCCCCAGTGCCTTTTAAAATCAGGAATATATCTAGATTATTAAAAAGGCAGTTTTCCAGTCGAAGAAGCCTGTCTGTGGGTTTCTCACTGTGCTCCCCTGGGCTGCATATTCTTGAGCCGTTTGCCGCTCATTAGCTCCTCCATGAGGGATGCCAGAGTGGGAGGACGGCAGGGCAGGCTGAAAAGCCACTGGCGTAATTGCGGCTTTCGTTGGTGTGAGATTCGGTGAGTCACCTGTGTGGGGTCAGACGGAGGTTAGGGATCAGGGAGGCTTCCCTTTGTCTGTTGCCCTGACTTTGGTAACTGGGCTGCACATAAATTAGATGTTGACTTCCTGGTGTGGGTCTTTATTTCTGAGACTTCTCTGAGGAATTTTAGTTCAATAACATCTTTATTCCCTCCTTCTTGGGATCCCACTTCATTCCTGGCCGCAGGAAAAAGCCTTTGAATTGGAGCTAGCTCGTCTCTTTTTTTCCCAGGCCAGTGAGCTGTACTTCCTCTGTGGTGGAATAGAGTGAGTGTCCCGGTTGTGAAGCTCTTGTATGGCCTGCGGAAATGTGCGGTGCCGCCAGCGGTCGTTTGAATGAGATACTTTCCTTTTGCAGGAGGGAAGGTTCAAGGCCAGTGGTGGAAGAGAGAGACGGCCAGGTGAGTACAGCCCAGACGCCCAGCCTGGGGCCAGCTCTCTGCAGTTGGCCTGCAGCTGGCTTCTGTGCCAGAGAGGGGACAGCTTAGTCACATTGTGGGTGGAAGTGTCAGTTGCCAGTGATTAGAAGTACAAATTTCTGATTGTTTTCTAATTAGTGATTCTATGTAGTTTTCTAACGTGCGGGGCGTGTTCTTGGTTAATTTTATCTAGCAGAAACTGCAAGTATCTCTTGGTTGTCCACTTACTTAGAGAGCCTTCGAGTCCTGGCACTGTGGGGTAGCCCGGAGTACCCAAATGGTGGCATAGGTAGTCATCGTTTAGCCCACATTTGCCGAGGCCTGGGGCATTGTCCCTCGCTCTCAGGTCCTACGCTGGGGACTGGGAACTGAAGACCACGAGGTGGTCCCTGCGTGTCTGTGGTGATGTGGTGGTGCCCGTGCTGGGTGAGCAGTGTGAGCTCAGGCAGGAGCAGCACGGTTGAGAGGTGGGAGACAGGCGTCAGAATATTGGCTTTGATTCCACGTGTGGTGGCTCATGCCTGTAATCTCAGCACTTTGGGAGGCCTAGGTAGGAGGATCACTTGAGGCCAAGAGTTTAAGACGACCCCGGGCAACATAGTGAGACCCCATCTGTAAAAAAAATAAATAAATTAGCCAGGTGTAGTGGTGCATGCCTGTAGTCCCAGCTCCTTTGGAGGCTCAGGCCAGGAGTTTGAGCTGTAGTGAGGTGAGCTATGATCACACCGCTGCACTTTAGCCTGGGCAACAGAGCAAGACTTTGTCTCTTCAAAAGAAAAAAAGGAGAATAGGGGCTTTTAAAAACAGGGCTGTGAGAGAACATGAGACCATTCTGACTCCTGAGGTTTGCTGGGTCCTGTGGGATTGGTTGCCCAGGGATACCGGAAGGCTGGTGTCAGAGGGGCCTGGCCCACCCCAGGGGCACCAGAAAGGAGGCCTCCCGACTCTCAGGCAGGACAGGGCTAAGTGGCTCTTCTCATGAACCTTGAGCAGTGCCAGTGAGGGCCATTAGGCACAGGCTCTCTGCGCTCGTGGGGCAGGAGGGTGATGCTGCAGCACCGGCTTAGGTGAGTCGGTGATGGAGCTGGGGCGTGGGAGAAGGGGAGTCCGAAGGCAGGGGACCTCTGGGAGCAGACGGTCAGCAGAGCAGGGCTCAGCTGGGGTCGGGGCAGGCCTCTAAGCCACCCCCACTGCTGCCTGGGTCTGTGATGAACAGGCCTCCTGGAAGTGGGTGCCACAGAGGAGTGACATGGTCAGAGAGTCACTCTGTACTCTTGTGCCCTCTAGCACTACTCAGACGACCGCCATGGCCACGGAGGACCCCCAGAGCGGCACGGCCGGGACTCCCGTGATGGCTGGGGGGGCTACGGCTCTGACAAGAGGCTGAGTGAAGGCCGGGGGCTGCCTCCTCCCCCCAGGTTAGTGCACAGGGCCATCGGTCCTCGCCTGATCAGAGGTCAGTGCCTGGTTGTGCACATCCCCAAGGTGCGGTTCAGCCGTTGGGAGCCTTAGGACAGGCTACTCAGGGGTCCTGCCATTTGAAACCCCTGATTCGAGAAGGCCAGGTTCTCACAAGGAAAGACAGCAGGCTCTTGGGGGTGGGGCCGTACTGGGTGACCTGGACAGCCCTTCCTCACTTAGTGGGGTTGGGGTCACCCTGCAGGTGTGTCTCAGTCACTGGGGTTCCTCACCTGTTGGAGGGGACAGTCCTGAAGCTCTTAGTGTGGCTCCTGTGGTGAGCGGTAGAGAAGCTTCGCCGCCACCATATTGTCTCTTTAGGGTCTCCTCGGATCCTTTTTCTCTGACCCCTGCTTACCCTGGGCTGGGGCTTCTCAACCCTGGCCCCCCGTTAGAATGAATCTCTTGTGGGGACCCTCACCCTGGGGCAGCTGGGTGGGGATCTTTGTGGGCGGAACTCGGATGGCAGGTTAGTGAGGCCCCTCTCCCCCAGGACTCGAACATGCTGTTCAGTGTGGAGGACGCCGGGCCAGGTCCTCCCCTGGGTGTCCAAGGCTACCTTCCTGCTGACACTATGGCTGGTGGGCAGCCCCAAGCCTCATCAGCTTTGGGGTTGACCCAGGACTTGTCAGGGGGGATCCGGGTGCCTCATTGTGGTTTCTTTGGTCAGCTGCAGTGGCCCCTGCACAGCTGTGCTCCCTTCCCGGCCAGCCCATCTCCTCCCCGCTGTCTGGGCTGGCTGCACGGTCGCTGGGGGCAGAACCATCTCCTGGTGCTGCCCCTGCCATGTCCGCTCCTTTCCTCTGCGTGACTGGTGTCCTGTCTGTGTCTCCAAGCGCAGCCTCTGTGCTGATGGGACAAGGCTCTTGGCGCATCGCCCCTCCGGGGGCTGCTTCCGTCTGGCCCCTGCTCAGCGCAATGGGGCGGCTTTTGTCTTCCCTGGTGCCGTCCCTCCCTCCAGCTGATAGGTACTTCCACCTTTGCGGGGGACTTTGACCTGGAGCCGTGCTGGGGACTCCAAGACACCAGGAGTTGCTATCGTGTGTGTGGCACAGACGGTGGCCACAGTCTGATCAATTACTGTAACGTGTTCTCTTCCGAGCGACCTACTTAACACAGGTCCTGTAATACCATGTAGTCCTTTTTGCTGTAAATACCTGTGGGAAACGTAAATGGGAGAACTCACCCTCGAAACAGGAGCTTGTAGTGAGCAGTGGCCCTGTGCCTTTGGGTCACCTGGGGGCAGACAGCTACACACATTGGCTTTCCGGTCTTTTTGGGGGCAGCGTTACATTTGCTTTGCGGGTGGGTATTAGGGGCTCTGCTGGGTTCCCAGTCCTGGTTCCCTCTGGGGCTTCTGAGCCAGGCGGGCCCGGCTCCCACCATGCCCAGCACTCCACACCAGAGTCCACTGGTGCCAGGATGTTGGAACCGCATTGGGATTTTAATCTCCCAGAGTTTTTGTCTGAAACTTTTAAAATAGCTCTGTTAAACTGTAATCCATAAACCACTGCAATTTACCCATTCGAAGTGCGCGGTCTATGGCTTTGAGTACATACACAGAGCTAAGCAGCCGTCGCCGCGGTCAATTTTGGAACATTTTCATCACCTCCAAAAAGAAACCCTGCACCTCTTAGCAGCCATCCCTCCCTCCCCCAGCTCCTGGCAACCATGAATCTTCTGTCTCTGAATTTGCCTGTTGCGGACATTTCCTATAAGTGGAATCACACTGTGTGGCCTGTCGTATCTGGGCACTTTTCACTTTCTAGGGTTTGTCCTTGTTGCCCCTTGTGTCTAGAGCTTCAGTCTTTCGAGTCTGAATATCCCCCTGTATGGCTGAACCGTGTTCTGTGTATCCATTCATCAATGGACGTTTGGGTCCTTTCCACCTTTTAGCTGTTAGGAGTCACACTGCTGGGGACATTCACGTACAGATTTCTTTGGACATGTTTTCATTCTCTCAGGTAGACAGCCGGGAGTGGGATTGCTGGGGTCGGGTGGTAATTCTATGCTTGCCGTTTAGAGGAACCGCCATGCAGTTTTCCACAGTCGCTGCACCGCCGCACGTTCCCACCAGCAGCGTAGCGGGGCTCCGGTTTCTCCACATCCTTGCCAGCGCTATCTGTCTTTTTGATTCTGGTGTCCTAGTGGAGGTGAAGTGGCATCTTGTGGTTTCGATTGGCACTTCCTTGGTGGCACCTTTTCTGTACTTCCCGGCTGTGAGATATCTTTGGGGTTGTATTTGATATATCTTTGAGGAAACATCACTTGGACCATCTGCCCGTTTCTCTCTGACGCCCTCGAGGCAGGGCATGCAGCCACACGGCCTGACTCCAGAGGCACATCCGAACGACTGTCTTTTTCTTTTGGCTCAGGGGTGGCCGGGACTGGGCAGAGCACAGCCAGAGGCTGGAAGAGCATCCAGCACGTGCCTGGCAGGGCGCCATGGACGCAGGCCTAGCAGGCAGGGAGCACACAAGGTGGCAAGGTACGAGGCTGGCTCCTGACCCTTGACCCCAGGGAGTGGGGGTGGCCGTGGTCCCAGGACTCTGCAGACAGAGCCCTTGTCCCCCCAGCATTTCCAGAGGCTTCCCCGAGGAGGGGTGTTTGCAGACTCTCTTCTTTTACAGGTGGTGAGAGAGGGCTGTCGGGGCCCTCGGGACCAGGGCACGTGGCCGGCCGGGGCAACGTGGCAGGGTAAGGAGTGTTGTCCGAGGATGGCGTTGGTTTGCTCCTGCACTTCCTCCCCTTCTTTGCATGTTTGATCAACTTGCTGGGTTGGATGTTTTGAAAACAAACCAAAAAGCAGCTCTTTGCAACTTACGCAAATAACACTCTTCAATTACACGGAATACAGTGTATGCTTATGATTTTTCTCACCTGGAAAAAAAACCAGTCGCGCTCTAAAGGCTGCAGAGTCGTGTGCTGAGTCGTGTTTCGGTGGAAACGTAGAGCACTTCGAGGGGGAAAACGTCTGACTTTGTTCCTAGGCGAGGCGGCTTTGCACAAGGTGGACATTCCCAGGGCGACGTGGTGCCGGGGGGCGGACTGGAAGATGGCGGAGTGGCCAGCCAGGACCGGGACAGCAGAGTCCCGCACCCCCACCCCCACCCGTACCCCCACTTCACCCGCCGCTACTAGGTCCCGCTCCCTGCGAGTTTTCAGGTAGGCAGACGCACTGGTGAATCTCTCAGCCAGAGTTCCCTTGAACTTGTGGAATCTTTTAAAACACAAGCAAATTCTGCCACCGTGTTGTAGCGCGATACAATGTGAACTCACTTTTTTTTTTAAATAAATGGTGTTCTTGTTCTGCCGTTTTTAAGACAAAGTTTCTGTTAACGAGGCATTCCATTTTCCATTAATAAAGTTTACGATTCGCATCCTTGAGTGTGCGTGTGTGCGCGTGAGCATCGAGGTGACCGCAGGGCACAGGACAGGACCGACCTTTGGTGCTGTGGTGTGTCGCGTGGCGGCTGCCGGCTCTGCAGGTGCTGCTGGAGTCTTCGCCTGCATCAGCTTGCGCTGAGTTCTCAGAACTGCACCGTGCTGGGCTGCCCACAGTCCCCCTCTTACAGATGAGGAAACTGAGGCTCGGGAATCGGATCGTTTGTCCAGGTACGAGGCAGAGGTGAGGTCGGGGCTGGGATCCTTCATTGTGGGGGCCCGCGGGCCAGTCCCTTCACGTCCGTGCCCGTCTGTCCCTCGGCAGGATGGGTGGAGAGGGCCGTCAGGTAGTGATTGGCACCACGTGAACGCCCCCACGGCCACCATGGTACCTGGGGAGCGTGAGCAGTGCTCGTGTGTGGTGTGGGGTTCTGGCTGAGGGTGGGCCCCGCTGTCCCCTGGTTCCTGACTGTGTTGTGCTCCGTACCTTCCCCTGGCAGCCGGGCAGGAAGTGGGCAGCCTGACCTGGCCCTGGCCCGGTGGTGCCAGGTCTATCCATTTTCCTGGAAATGCAGGTTTATCTGTGACATGTCATTTGTGAGCGTGATTCCAATGTTTCCCCGTAAGGACTGCCAGACCAGGTACCGCACCGGCCGAGGTCACTGGGCTGGCTGCCCATGTCGTGGCCCCTCCCTTCCAGGGCTGTACGGTGGGCTGGCCACGGCCACTCTGAGGCCCAGCTCTCCTCTCCAGAATTGGTGATGGCAGGGCAGGGTGGCTGCAGGCATGGGGTAGGGGGCAGAAAAAAGGCCAAGTCACCTCCCTGGGTAAATGGGGTTGGCCTGGTGGCCTCCGGCTGGAGGTGGGCAGGTGCCGACGGAGCCTGCGGAATGGTGAGAGTTAACCCGCAGTGCCGCCTGCTGGGAGCCTCTCTTCCGCCCTTCCGTATCTAGGGCAGCCACCCCACAGTCCCCTCCGACAATTGCCAGTTCTTCTGAAGTCCCCCGTGTTCCCGCTGCGGTGGTTAGTTTTAAAAGAGCAATCTGAAAATTCTGCCCAGCTTGCCGTGGAAACCGGAACATTAAAGGCAGGTTGGCTCTGGCCCTCGGCGTCCTGAGTGAAGATTTCTAAGGAGCTTCCCCACAGCAGCGGCTTGTTTTTTTAGAGTCATTTTCTAACAACAGGTTGACAGGATGCTGTCTCCATGCTGCACGTGGGGGCCTGTGTGGCACGTGGCCTCCTGCACGGAGTCCCTGTCTGTCCCCACCACAAGCCCAAGTCTAGAAATTGGGTCAGGGACGTCCCTCTTGGGCAACAAAAGCCAGGCGAGGCCTGTGTTGAGAGGAGGCGGCCTGGGGTTGTTTGTGTGACCTGTTTTCAGAGCTGTTGGCAGCCTGAAGTATAAAGCCGGGGCTCTCAACTGGGTGCCACCACCAGCCCAGCCCTAGGGAGCCAGTCCCAGTGGTCATCCCGCGGGGTGCAGAAAAACCCCTTTCTAATTAGCTGGGCCAAGAACTGCCCTGTTTTACATAAAAAAGCAAAATACTTGTATTAGTTGGCAAGGACTGCTGTCACAGTGCCACAAAATGGCTGCAGATGCTCGTTGGGTCACAGTTCTGGAGGCCAGAAGTCCGAGATCAAAGTGTGGGCAGGGCTGGATCCTCCTGAGGCCGAGAGGGAGGGTCTGTCCCAGGCCTCCCCCGGGATTCCGACGGTGGCCGCACCCTTGGCATCTTGGCTTATGGAAGCATCACCCCAACCTCTGCCTCCGTCTTCACGTGGCCGCCTCCCTGTCCGTGCTTGGGTCCAGAGTTCCCTTTTCTGTTAAGACGCCAGTCGTAACTAGCTTAGGGGCCCACCCCACTCCAGTGTGGCCTTACATCGGCTAATGCCATCTGCAGTACCCTGTTTCCAGTGCAGTCGCCTTCTGAGGTTCTGGGGGCCTAGGAGGGGAATGGGATTTGGTGGGGGCAGCTCCACCCATCACAGGACCCTTTGGTTTTGATACACATGGATTTTTCCAGGAATGCAGCTTCTGGGTAAATTGAGGGAAAATTGTTCAGCACCTTATCAAGAGTTACTCACCATTTCTGGGAACACAGGTGCTTGGGGTGCTGGGACCTCCCTGCCGCATCTGACCGCGAGCGTGGCTGTCTGCATAGACGCGTGTATCTGAGCACTTCGTCATGTTTCCTGCCGTGCTCTTGTGTAGCTGGGGCTTGTGCCCAGTTGCTTAATAGGGTAAATTGCAGGCACTGTTTATCAGATGTTATTTTCCTTTTACATCTTCTGTTTGTATCCAGTAGGGTATCATATTAGTTTGCAGTTGTTTTGTGTTTTGAGACAGAGTCTGTCACCCAGGCTGGAATGCAGTGGCGGCGTAGCTCACAGCAGCCTCTAACTCCTGGCCTCAAGTAATCCTCCCACCTCAGCCTCCTGAGTAGCTGGGATGACAGGCATGAGCTACCATGCCTGGCTAATTTTTCTGTTTTCTCTAAAGATGGGGGTCTAGCTATGTTGCCCAGTCTGGTCTCCAGCTCTTGGCCTCAAGCGATCCTCTTGCCTCGGCCTCCCAAAGTGGTAGGATTACAGGTGTGAGCCATGGACCTGGCCCTGGAGTTGTTATTTTTTTGCGTGTAGGTCAGTTACACATCAGCTCTGATTTTTAATTCAAGAGAGAAAAGGTGGGTCAAACAACTTATTTGTTACAGAAAAGGGTTGCTGAGGGACGCTTGGGGGATTCCACGTTTGGGCTGTTGAGAATCGCACTGCTGTGGCCGTTTGTGGATGTGTGTCTGTTGGGACACCTGTCTTCCGTTCTCTCGCATACGTTCTAGGAGTGGAATTGCTGCGTCATGTGGCACCTCCGTGTTCTGCTTTGGAAGGAGTCCCCACACTGCATCGCGGCTGCACTGTTTAACATTCCCACCAGCCATGTGCCAAGGTTCTAACGTCCCCACGCCCCCGCCCCCGGCGCCTGTTACTGTCGGGGTTTCTGACAGCAGCCATCCCCATGGGTGTGAAGTGGCCCAGACCAGCAAAACGTGGCCTGTCCGTGCAGTGGAATGTGATTCCACCTTGCGTGGACGGACCTCGAGGACATCGTGCTCGGTGAAATAAGCCAGTCACAAAACACAAGTCCTGTGTGGTTCCACTCACGGGAGGTCCCTAGAGGCGTCACAGAGATAGGAAGTAGGATGGTGGGTGCCAGGGGCTGGGGAGTGAGTGTTTTCATGGGGACAGAGTTTCAAGTTTGGGATGATGAGAACGTTCTGGAGGCGGAGGGCGGTGATGGCTGCACAGCAGTGTGATTGTGCTTAATGCCACTGAATTTTACGGACTTAAAAATAGTTAAAATGGTAAGTTTTATCTTACATGTATTTTACCACCATTTGTAAGAAATCTTTCGGGGGGGAGGGGGCTGTTGGGCATCACATCACGGGAGGGAGAGTCCCTGGGGCAGCAGCTGAGCCAACCTTCCCTCCGGTCTTGTGCCCACAGGCAGCTAATAACTACTCTCTGCGTTGGCTGCCGTAACCGGAAGAGAGTAATAGTGCGCACCGTATGGGATCTTTACGGAGATTAGTTAATCCAGGCAGAAAGCTTAGAACCGTGCCTGCCATACAGTAAGGGCTTAATAAATGTTGACAGGCCCTGAGGAGCCCTCCAGGAACAGGGCCTCGGGTGCTCCACGTTCTGGGGGCCCTGCCAAGTGCCATGAGCCTGGAGGAGGGGGCTGGGGGAAGGAAGCGATTGGCTGCAACATTACGGAAAGGAAACTGCAAAACATCAGAATGAAGACCTTATTAAATGTCTCCGCATCTGCAAAAATGTGTCAGCTTCACCAGTTGCCAAATTTCGTATTCATAAAGATTTCATTACATTTCAAAACAGCTCCTAGGTTAAATTTTCTCACTCGCGAAGAACTCCCAAGCCCGCGCCATGATTGCCAGCCTTAAACTGCACGCGTTCTTCCTAGTCAAACAATGCCGAAGGCGGAGTCACAAACGGGCCTCTTCATTAACAAAACTGCAGCCACAAAGTAGTGGTGGGGAGCGGGTTTGCTGGAGGCGGAGGGTCTCCACTGAGCCCTCCCAGGACGGGGCGGGGGAATGGTGGGAGGGTGGTGGGGAATCGGGGCCAGCCCTGGGCTGTCACCTGCTGAGTGGGTTCAAGTCTCAGCTCTTCAACCACTTCTGTCAGCTGTGAGCACTCGAGGAAGCGGCTTGGGGCACGTTTTCTCACTTCTCAGGTGGAGGTGATTCCCCCAATCCCAGGCCCGTGGGAGGATTTCCGGGGTGACCGTATCATAGTCTGGCTTAGTGCCTCAGAAGCCCTGTTGGCCCCCTGGGGTGCCGTTTCCTCATAGGAGCCCCGTTTTTGCCTCCTCTGTCCCCAGAACGCTATCCTCACCTGGAAACTTGGGAGTTTGACACGACACTTGGAGGACCACTGGGTGTGTGCGTCTCCTGGGCCTCTTGGAACAAATTTAACACACACCGCACGGTTCAAAACAGCACACGTCTGACACGGGCCTCCCTGGGCTGACGTCAGGGTGTGGCAGGGCCGGTCCCTCCCGGGGGCTCCAGGGGAGAACCCACCTCCCGCCTTTCCCAGCGTCCCTCGGCGCGGGGCCCTTCCCACCCCTCCAGAGCCAGCAGCGCAGCGACTTTCTGACCCTTTCCCCAAGTCCCCTCCCTGTGACCGCGGCCTGGAAAGGTTCTCCAGTGTTAGGGATTCCGGCGATTAGCTTGGACGCACCTGGATGATCCAGGCGTCTCTCCGCTGCTCCAGGTCCTCAACCTTAATCACATCTGCAAGGTCCCTTTGCCATGGGACCGAACCGCACAGGTCCCAGGGACTAGGACGTGGCCATCTTTCGATGGGGGCATTATTTGCTTATCACACTGGGGTGCGACACAGTCCGCTTTGGGACGTGCCAGAGGTGAATACCAGTCAAGGAGGTTAGACATCTCTAGTCCCCGTGGCCAGCAGT